TCTAACGGTTTTTACAATTTTACGTTAACATATACAAAAATAGTGATAAGTTTACAAGAATGGAACATACGCACAATGTTAATACTCGGAACAAACGTAGGCTGCAATTTCCCCGTACTATCTAAAGTTAGTAATTCTTTTTTGGGAAAAGGGATACCCTTCTTTAATAAAATCCCAGAGGCTCTTTTATCTCTGCCTTTTAATAAATTTAAGAAATGTATTAAAGAAAAGACGTGTAAAAAGGATTAATATAAAGTTAACGATTATCTAGTTGATAAAAGGACCTGGGGACTAGTACTAGACCGGCAACTTCTTATTAATTTGTGATATTTGTTTTAAAATAAGTGTTGTTTGATGATTTGATATTTTAAAAGAGTATCGAGAGTTGCTTACGCCAGCTTTATCTCTCGGCCTACACCCTCTGTCTTTTTTGCCGATGAGTAGGGATGTCTACCGTTTTAAATTTAATGACATGAAATAAGTGATACCTGTATCTCATATTCCATAATAAACATATTTTATTTTATTTATTTTATGGTGTAGTTTTATTTATTGATAATCACGTAGCACAAAATAAGGAACTAGAAGCCACACAAATACATACAAATCTCTAGTAAGGCACCCTATGTGTCATGTAAACACGTAGATGTTTCCTCAATCGATGCGGCCTCTTGATGAATGTGTTTACACTCACTCTAATATTACGTTTCTATATACTTAAACGGAAGCTTTACTTATTTTAGTTGGGATATTTTTTGAGACCAGTACGGAAATGAAAATATTACAACTCGACTCGTGTGGAGTCTGAACCGTGATGAATCAAGCTCCTTACAAATTTTCATTGTTTTTTCCATAAAACTTAGCACACATCAGCTACATTCTATAATTAACTAACTAACATAAATAGAGTCTTTCCTCCTACTTCGATTTTGTTCTATTTGGAGTAGAGACTCTTGGGCCGTGGGGTTCAAGTGCATTGGCGCTAATTAAAGATTTAAGTTGGCAGCTGGTGGTACCGGTGATGCCAGAGTTGGTGCTTTCCTGGCTCAACGAATAAGTATCGCAAAACAGCGAGAAAATGCTGCCAGCGTTAAAGGTACACTGCCACAGGGACCAAGCTTTTTAAATTTGTTTTAATTTTATTTATTATTGCTGTGTAGGTTAAGAAAATTGTATATACTGCATATTTGATTGTTATGATTACTAATAAACAATATAACTAACTTTAATTAAATAATCGATAATCATTATTTTATACTATTTATAAAATTAAAATCGCAATCAAATTTGACGACTCATTGGTCTAGTGGTTAGTACCCCTAACTGCGAATCCATGGGTCACGGGTTCGATCCCTGGCTGAGACGAACATCGATGTGATGAGCATTTGAGGTTGTGCTTAGGTCTTGGGTGTTTAAATATGTATTTATATGTCTATCTATCTATAATATGTATGTATATCCGTTGCCTAGTACCCATAACACAAGCTTCACCAGCTTAGCATGGGACTAGGTCAATTGGTGTGAATTGTCTTTAAAAAAATCCTTCACGTACATACGTTTATACATTAGTAAACCAATTCCGTGAAAATACTCTTATGTGCTCGCGTACATTGAATCGTACAAGCGGTGATGGATTGTGCAAACAGTATTAACTGAATACTATATATCCAGATCTTGTGATGCCAATGTCTGCTACTCGACAACTGTACCAATATTTGTATAAATGTTTGGCTAACATATGTCTGGGAATATCACATGCCTTAATACTTTTCTGTTGGTGTATATTTATCACGAAATACCTCTCTTGTATAAAGGTGAAGGCGTCTTATTAAGTTATAATACATCTGTAGCACTCCTGGGGAAAAATATACATGAACTTAATTGGATAATAAGTATTCAAACGGTTTTATATAACTAGAAAAAAAAATGATTTTAAAACTTGTAAACTATTCGCAAGCGTTAATTTTAGACAAAAGCTAATTACTACGGGAAACTTTTAAAAACTTGAGCTTTTATGTTAAGAGCTTTTTAAAGTAATATTAAATTATTTTGTTTCAGGTAAGTAAACATCAACTACCAACACTCCACTCCGTTTTATAAATGTTATTTACTTCGTCACACGGGTATAATTATACTTTTTTGGATTATGGTAAGTAAGCTCAACACAAGTAACATCACGTGCGGTTCACGTGCGATGCACAAAACAGTTGTATTGAGAGTTCCAAATTCAACAACCACTGTTACTAAAATTCAACTAAGATCCTACCATTATATCTAATTAAGTACGTACTCCTTTTGTAAAATACAATAAATCATGTAAATAGACCCTTTTATGAAGTGGTAGTTACTTGAATAACTAATTTCTATGTCAACAACAATATCGCTCCAAAGTTTCCAATTGAATTTTAATATAATGCATTATTGAAAATCGAATAAATACGTCGTCAGTGTTAAAGTAACTGTATTCCTTGAAGGTAGGGTTGTCTTTGCGTTGAAGACAGCTACCACGTGGAACAATGACTTGGGAAGTGAGGATATAACTTGGAAACTTACTTACATCTTTAATAACATGACTTTGCGAAGTAGACATGGGGAGAAATTGGCTGTGGCAAAAATTAATCTGGACTTGTATAGGAAAAACACCTTTTTATATGGTGTAAAATAATTTACCAAAAACATTCAAAGATCCTACAAGAGTTTTTAAAAATCGACTTTATCTACTTTTGGAAAAAAAAATATTATTCTATTAATGATTATTGTATTAAACATTATAATTAATATTAATTTGATATAGTGATTAAATATTATAAGAATTGACTATAATGGTATGACACATAATGTAATTGAATCTATTAAGACAAATTTGCACGCCATTATGGCAGAATAAGCGAACTTGAGATAGTACCAACATAACATTTATGTACCATATTCTTGCAAATAAATGATAATAAATATATATATATATATACATTAACATAACATTTATGTACCATATTTTTGCAAATAAATGATAATAAATATATATATATATATGTAAAGAGAATGATCTCTTTAATTTGATATTCGCGCGCACTGCTAGTTCGTGAGTGAGCCGCGTCGTGTCACGTCAAGCTAGTTGCCATTGTCAAAGATGTAAAGGACAAATATGCTGAGATCGTTGAATTGTATTTTAATCTTATTTGTTAATTAATTTCATACTTAGTTAAGCTATATGCATCGAGAGGTGATAACAATAAACTTTTATTGTCGTTTCTTTACTTACAGGTGAGATTGTGTTAGTCTTGTAAGGATTGTATCAGTGTGTAACCTACTCGATAAATAAAATTGCATTCTTTACTTACAGAGAAACAAATAGAAGTTTTATTTAGCCTCTTGCAATTGAAATACAAACTATTGTCTTATATATATAAATGTAAATCGTAATGAACTAAAATAATTCAGGGGACTCGTACACCGGGGACGAGGAAAGTTAGTTAGTTGAAACAAACTGTTTTATAATGTAGGGTTAAATAAATTGGGATAAGAATATAGAAGGCTATTTAATTGTTATTTGCAAAACGTATAATAATTAGATATGTATCAATACGTATACTGGTAATAATTCCAAGAAATCGCTCTTAATCGCTTCATTGTTTGAATATAATCAATTTGATTAACATTTATTACTCGCCTGGAGAAACGATATGACATTATCTAAATCTCGTAACATTTTCCCAACCAGGCTGTTAAAAAACGAATCCTATTGGAACACGTGCAGTTTTATGCTACGTAAAATCTGGAACACGTGCAGTTTTATGCTACGTAAAATCTATTAATCATGACAACCTAAGCTATGTGAGCAATAGACAGCCCATATAGCTCCATATATTTCTCAATGTGAAACTTAAATTATTCCGTAATTCACCACGCGTCCTAGTTTATATAAATGTCAGAAAAACTGCTTTCTAATGAATACTGAACAAAGCTGAATTATTGATAATATTTTTTACGAGTCTTCAAGGCGTCCAACAGTTAATGGTTGATTGTAATATATGGCTGTACAAAATGTTATAGCACTGTTTTTACAATGAACACTAAATATATGTTATATGCGACCACAAACACCACACAGCAGGCTCCGCAGGCTGCGGTCTGAAACAATTTTCACGCCGCTTTCATTCTCGTCGGTTGTGGCTGGCTTAATTGCTTTCTATTATGACTGTATTTTATATAAATGTACTTAATTATCATTAAGATTATGTACTGATTGCTGTACTGTTCATGTAAGCAAAAACAGTTGGTAGTTGGTTGGTTGGTGGGCTCAGTTTCCGCAATAAAGCCGGTTGCAGACCGAAAACTAAGCTATGCCAAGGCTAATCTAAGCTATGCCAAGCAAGCTAGGCTAAGCTAAGCTAGAAATAAATAGCGTGCACACCAACAGCTAACCCAAAGCTCAGTCAGTGTTGCATAGTATGTGCAAAGGGTGTGCGGTGTAGCGGGAGGGGCTTAACTTAGCTCGTGTAGCTGCGCATCGGCATACACAACTAACTTAGCTTCGCATATTTTAGTTAGCTCACATAGCTTAGTTCGCATAGTTTGCGGTCTGCACAGATGTATGGAAAATTGCGTCAGCTATGCGAGCTAAGCTAAACTAACGTAGCTTAGCTCTTGGTCTGCAACGCGTATTAGTCTCAGTCAGGTCCGTTGTGCGTAAATTCCTGGCTAACTAGCTTCCAGAAGCACAGAAATCTCATGGACACTTAGCAGGCTTCACCGATAGACCTACGAGGGTTTCTGTACGTTGGTTAGCCACAGTTGGGTTTTAAAGTCTAAGTTTTATAAATGAAAAACAATACAATTGCCTAGTACCCATAACACAAGCTTCACCAGCTTAACATGGGACTAGGTCAATTGGTGTGAATTGTCCAATAATAAAAAATAAAAAAAATAAAAAAATGTACAAGTTGTGTAATGAAAAATGTAAATTTTCTTATTCCAATTGAAACTGCTATCGCCATCATTTAATCCATCTCCAGACTCCAGCTATCGGTTTCATAATTGTATTTTTTTCCATATTTAAGCTCTTTGTTCCGTAATTTCGTCGGAGGAGTAGTAGTGGTGGGCACATAGAACCCGGTGGTAGTGGCTTCAGTCTCTCGAGTCGTATACTTATTCAGTTCCATTTTACTGAACTTGATATCCTCGAACAAGGGAATCGGATCTATTGTTGTGGTCCGCTTCTTACCGCGGAAGTATTCTGGCATCTGTTATTGACATGATTTTCTTATTAATTATATGTTATGACTTAATTTATAAAAATCAGAATATCCAAACTTATATTTATATATTACTCTACTGTAAGTGTGTATGTCACTGAACTCCTCTTAAACGGCTGGACCGATTTGAATGAATGTTTTTGTATACGTTTGGGTGGCGCCCTGGATGGTTTAGATTCACAAATCAGCCCGACAGATGGCTTGAAATATCATGCAGGATAACGTCTGTCGGGTCCGCTAGTATAGGTATATATCAGGAAATTTCTTCAAACAAATCTTAGTTTACAGTATTATGAGATTACATTACTTACAGTTTCATTAATATTTTCTATCCAATCGCTGTAGGCTCCCACGAGAGTAAACACCGTGGGAGCGTTGGGGTAGCCACATACGGATGGCCCAAAAGATATAATTCCCACCAGCTTTCCAGCCAACACTGCTGGACCTCCCGCATCATGCTAAAACATAAGAGATTATATTAATTAAAACTCCTTCAAATTTTACTCTTTTTGTGGAGACAAACGGTCAGGAGGCTCATCTGATGTTAAGTTATACCCATGGACACTCACACTGCCAGAAACTCGCAAGTACGTTGCCGGATTTTTAAGAATTCGTAGGTTCTTTTCTTGAAGGACCCTAAGTCGAATTGGTTCGGACATACTTCAGTGGGCAGCTGGTTCCATAGTGATTGTTCGTGGCAAAAACTGCATTAAGAAACTCTCAGTTGTAATAACAGACGTAGAGGTGATACGGATGGTATTTTGTAGTCTGCCTTGACGTCCGATAATGAAACTTAGCTGCAGGTATTAGTCTGAACAACTCCTCTGAACACTCTCCATGGTAAATGCGGTAGACGATGCAGAGAGACCCCACATCTCTACGCAACGCCATTACTTTAACTTTACAAAAGCTAACGAGACATTTTTGTGGGCGTTTCAATCTTAAAGGAGACATTTAATATAATAATAATAATCTTTACTTATTTTTCTCACAAAACCTTCGCACATAAACAAGTGACAGTTATATATTATTATAAATAAATAATAAAGTTGTCTCCCTCTTTTTCGTTTGCTGTGCCTTGGGCACCAGTTTTTTGCTCCAGTTTTCTGTTTCTCTTGCCACGTGCCCCGCCCATTTCCATTTAAGTTTATTTATTGTTAGTGTAAAATTTGTTACATTACGTATTCTCTTAACGCTGTATTCTTTAGATTAGATTAGATTAGATTTAAGCGATAAGTGTAAATTTATTATTATTGTGGTCAGAACAAGTATATAATCGAAGGAATTAAAGCCTCTTAAACGCGCTGCACGTGTCAAAAAAGGCAGAGCGGGGTCTAAATAGATTAATTGTTACTTTAAAGTACACGAAATTTTGAGATTTGATGACAAATTTCGCTTAATTGTGATTGGTCAACAACTAAAGAAGAGCCTGCAGCAGTGGGGCGCTACGTTAGTTTTTAATTCCGCGCGACACAACCAACTGTTGGTTTAACTCTGAAACTTAAGTAATTCCCGTCAAGATAGAAGTTTCCTTTGAGCTCTCACTTTAATATTGAGTTTTTGCAAATTAATGTAACTTTTACGAGGAGCATGGAACATCACGAACTTTGGGTTTTCTTTTTGAAATAATGAGTAAAGTATATAAATGCGTTCCATTTATAAAAATGGTGTTTTTAAGAAACTTGTAAAACAGTCGAATTGCCTTTTTACCTACTAGTGTCCTGATAGTATTAATGTAACTTCTAGTAATTATAATAATTTCAGCCTTTTAAACAAGAATGGGGATGGGCCTGATACACCAATTTACTTTCACACAATTTTCCGACGCACACTACTTGGAGATATATTATACAGTGAAAGACTGGTGCTTTAGCCAATTAAAAAAATATATATATATATATCTTGAAATTGCCTGTTCGTTGCCACGCGTTCGCGTTAACGTTTAACGTAAGCTTAAACTTGTGTGTGCATCGTAATCCATTAATTCCTGTGATACAAAATATAGACAATAATCGTGTATCGCTAATAAAAAAAATCAATGGCGCTACAACCTTTTTAGGTCTCGGCCTCGGATTTCTGTTTCATGATCATTTAGTGATCTAATAGGCAAGTAGGTGATCAGCCTTCTGTGTCTGACGCACGCCGTTGACTTTTTAGGTCTAAGGCAAGCCGGTTTCCTCACGATGTTTTCCTTCACTGTTCGAGCGACTGTTAAATGCGCACATAGAATGAAAGACCATGGGTGCACAGCCGGGGGATCGAACCTACGACCTCAGGGATGATAGTCGCACGTTGAAGCCTCTAGTGGCCTAGTGCTTATTACTTACTACATCGCTAATAATTATTGTTACTTACATCGCAAGCTCCCTCTCCCGTGGTCATGGTTCCCGCACAGAACATAGAAGAAGCTATGAATTTACTGCAAAAAGTATGTATTAAAGTCAATTGCTTCCATTCATATAAAAAAACAAATGACAAATGCGTTTCTAACACTTTTCATACACACTGAAAAATTTTTGTGTGTAAAGACGAGCAGTACTCACTCTCCGTAGATCTCTTTGCAAAATATGTTGGGGTATATTGGGAGGAACTTCCGATTGAGAAACACTGGTTCATAGGCCAACCTTTGTGACATCTGCAAGTTAACATAGCATCATATACAACTCAAATGTTATTTAATTATTAATAGGGATAAAAGTCAAGCCGATTAGTAGATTAATAATAACAATAATAAGCCATCCATCCACATCTTATTGACATACAAAAATAGTATATAATAATAAATATATATATACAATTGCGGCCCCTGTCCGTGAGAAGGCCTCCTTCAACTTTTTCCACCTCATTTTAGTTTTTGCCGTCGACATTCAATTTTTTCTAGCTACCCTTTCGATCTCGCCGGCTAATCGCTCTATTGGTCGGCCCTCATTATCACGTGCCCTACCCATCTCCATTTAAGTTGAAAGGCATGTTGCTCAGAAAGAATAATACTTCTTTCTATTACGCTGGCACGAACGAATTTTGGCCTTCGTTTTGTTTTGGAAATCGAAGTTTGTGCTCCATATTATATTAATAATCTTTCGAGAATCGCACAACTATTACCAGAATAATGTTTTTAGTATATTTACGTAAATACGAAACTCGTATTACCTTAGTAACCCCCCATCCTAGCACCAAGACTTCGACAGTTGGCGCAAGTCCACGTCCGCTGGTTGAGATGTTAATGACTTTAGGCACTCGATGGTACCCAAAGAACAGATGGCGCCGAAGGCGGATCACAGCAATATTATGACGCAGCGTGCGAGGATTGTAGCCAGGGTGGAAGTACACCTGAAATATACACAAATATATTAGTTAAAATCATCGAACCAAGGGAATCCCACCTTCTACTCTAGTTTTTTTTACGATAACAGCCATAATGAAAATAAAGATTAGTTTTTGATGTAATTGTGTTTAAGCGTAACGACTAATATTACAAGTAGGAAGGACGATCCTTACAAATAATGCAATTTTATCAGAGGGCAAAAAAGTAAGTTGACCTTTTGGTCAACTTCGAACTGGAAAGCTTCTGCTTTCATTGAAAACGCTGTCCTTTGACATACTCGTATTACAAAGCGATATGCGGGACTTTTACTTTTAAATTTATTGTGAATATATCAAAAAAGTAATTTATTACGTAGTTATTGAAGTCTTTAGTAGACCAGTGCCGATAATTTTTGAAACCAAAAAAAATTACAGTAGGATAAAACCCATTAGAAAAGCAGGGGAATATGATCAAAATAATAGGAAAAATAAATTACGGTCGATCTGAGGTCGGGAAGGGGTAAGGGGGGATAGTTTTAAGGGTAAAAAACGGTTTATCTCGATTTCCGGCAAAACTAAAAGTCCTATCGAAGAAAGTTAAATGGCAAAGTTGTAGGTAATAAAAATATCTAAAACTTTTGTATTCACACATTTTTCACATAACCTCAAAATTTATGTGAAAAATTCAAAAAACCAAGTTTTTGGTTTTTAATTTTTATCTTTTACAAATTTCTTTTTTTTTAACGAAATTTGGTGAAAACTTACCTTATTATGTCCCAAATATACTGTAATTTATTTGATTAAAAATATTAAATAAGGAAATAAATAAATAAATAAATAAATAAATAAATAAATATTTATTTTTTCACCTTATTTTGAATTAATATCGAAAAAACTCCCTAATTTTCAATCGAAAATTCTGACGTCAAAATTTCAGCTTTTTTCAAAAAGTTGGTGTGCTTTCAGTTCGTTGAAATCTCTACTTTCCTATGGTAAAAAAAAATATATATATATTACCATAGTAAATCTTCTCAGAAAATGCAAAACATCGTATGCAGTAACGCCCAGACCCGTCATACCCTTCCCTACTTCTCTATGAAATACGAAAATTTTAGCCCATCTAAAGGCTAAAAATTTTTTTTAGGTCACTCAGGTATATATAAGTTATCTTAAAATAGTAATAAATAGGCATCTAATTATAATTTAAAGAAGATCCTTTCATTTTGATCATATTCACCTGCTTTTCTAATGGGTTTCATCCTACTGTAATTTTTTTTGGTTTCAAAAATTATCGGCACTGGTCTAAAGGGAAAGTAGGGAAGGGTATGACGGGTCTGGGCGTTACTGCATACGATGTTTTGCATTTTCTGAGAAGATTTACTATGGTAATATATATATATTTTTTTTTTACCATAGGAAAGTAGAGATTTCAATGAACTGAAAGGACACCAACTTTTTGAAAAAGCTGAAATTTTGACGTCAGAATTTTCGATTGAAAATTAGGTGTTTTTTTCGATATTAATTCAAAATAAGGTGAAAAATAAATATTTTTAATCGAATAAATTACAGTATATTTGGGACATAATAAGGTATGTTTTCACCAAATTTCGTTAAAAAAAAGAAATTTGTAAAAGATAAAAATTAAAAACCAAAAACTTGGTTTTTGAATTTTTCACATAAATTTTGAGGTTATGTGAAAATGTGTGAATACAAAAGTTTTAGATCTTTTATTACCTACAACTTTGCGATTTAACTTTCTTCGATAGGACTTTTAGTTTTGCCGGAAATCGAGATAAACCGTTTTTTACCCTTAAAACTCGCCCCCTACCCCTTCCCGACCTCAGATCGACCGTAATTTATTTTTCCTATTATTTTGATCATATTCCCCTGCTTTTCTAATGGGTTTCATCCTACTGTAATTTTTTTCACTTTTTATTTATTTTGAAGGCTATCTGCACTGGTCTATAGGTGCATCAGGGTAAAATTTTTAAAAAACGTTACGAAGATGTGCAGCATTTTTGTCGAAGAAAAGAGAGAGAGCGATTGAGACGATTGAGAGAGAGTGAGAAGGATGAATTACCTTATAGATATTCTATTTTAAAAATAAAAATTTCGTAAAGAGAATTTATGAAATATTAGTATTTTATATTTTATGCAACATAATTTATTGAAATCTCAAATGACGATTTGTACGTTAAAATGCCACGTGTTTTTATTATCGAAGAAATTAAATTAAAAAAAATTGTAAAAATTTTCCACACTCTTATTACTTACTGACAATTATATTCATTCCTAACATATCTTCCTTTTTCCCTCCCTTTTGTATAAATATGAACAAGAGTTAGAAATAAGTGTGCCTAAGAAGTTTCACTTCTGACATGTGTACTTTGTACACACGCACTTTTTTTTCTTGAAAATTAACTAACTCACGTATCACTCAAGAGTGTCTATAGTGGATTTTTGTGATACTATGTATTTATAGTACATTATTAAGGTATTATAAGGTACATACTTCTAGTGCATTTATAGATTCTCCCCCAATTCTGCTATGATTACTTCCCACACGTACATACAGAGCCTTCGGGTTTTCGCGAAAGAAGCGATTGTTGTGCATACTGGAAAAGTAATAAGTACAACGCGAGCTATTACTTATACGGGATTCCTTTAGTCGTGTTGCTGTCAGCTGCCATTGTCATCTGTCACAGAGCTCATTATTATTACTAGATCTACAAATTAACGACTATTCAATGGTCGTTAATAATACTAATTCATTAGTGGGAGTAAATCATTATTATTATTAAAACTAATTTATTATCAGTTTAATCGTTTGACACTTAAATACAATCAATATTAAAGCAATCATTTGACACTTATTCCGACGACTGCTGTCCGACTCTGTAGTCGGTTCGGGATAAGGTGCCAAACAAACTAATTTATAACGTCAAAGATCATTATCTACAACAATTTATCTACAGGTCCTGTTTTTGTTAAAATTCAGGTCGTGTTTTCGAGTCATCGCTCAGCTTATAGTTTGATGCTGTGTCAACAATCGGTCTCTGGCTCTCTTTCTGTCGTTAGACGACGATATTCCTATCAGTCATTTTCAATTACCCCTTATTGTCCCTTCTCCACGTGTAATCCTTGACCTTCCTAGACCATTATTGAGGTGCTGCCCTCGTACCTCGTTTATTTATTTTATTTTATTTTATTTTATTTTATGACTTCTCCTCTTTAATCCATTTTCTTATAACACTTCGTCGTATACAGCACACAATTTTAAATGTTTTTCTAACAGATAACAAAATAAAGAACTTACAGCTGTAAGCACGAAGCCGAAGTAAGCACCAGATCATGCCAGTATATAACGCCTCCGCACCAAAACCTCCCCATGACATGAATAGACACCATGAAGGGATAGTGCTTGATGGTAGTTCTTTCGCCCTTAAATAACCTCCTCCCATCGTGCTTGTGGTACTCTTTCAGGTCTTCCAGCTCGCCTTGAGGGTCTGTAATTAAAATTGTATTTTAGCTTCTACAGCTATTACGCTAAAAGTGAATTATTATAAAATCGTAAAGCCAAGCCTATGGAACAGCCATAAAGAGAAATGAAAATTAAAAAAAAATATATACCATTCCATTTCTTATTAACCGTATTTTTAATAAAACGAACATAATATACAAACGAATGCATTTTTGTGTCGCAAAATCCAATTAGTCAAAGTTCGTGTACGTTGCATAGGATGTTTGCGAACAATAGTGACACGATACTATGAGACCTATTTACTACGAGAATTTTATTTTCCTTTGTATGTCATTAGTATATTTAAAAACCAGTTCGTCGTGAGTCAACCAAAGTATAGAAGTTGTATTGTTACCCCAATATTTATTTTCTTGTATGTCAAATCGATGATCATCCGCAGGTGATTCAGCAATCATTTTATCAACAATACCGTCTATAACGTCATCATCTATCTCCGTATTATGCCCATGATCATTCTCCATCATCCTTCTGGCGGCTAGCATCAAATTACTGTCCTCGGCTTTTTCTGATAATATCTTCATAATATCATCTCGATTCATTTTTTCTTTCAATTTCAAATATAAATGCTTCGGCTCTCTATCTAACAGTAAATTAAAGTTATCTGATTCATTTAGCGCTTTGAAGAAGTTTGTTTCATTTAGATTTGTACTAGACGTTTCGATCAGAATAAGTTCAGTATGTTTATCTTTATCTACGACATATTTCTCTATGTCTTTTAATTTGTCTTTAAGCTCTTTGATTCGGTCGTTGTCTTCATTGTTTAGAATAGAGACGAGTGAATTAGCGACGCTGTGAACAGACGAGTTGTTCGAATTACCTTCTACGAAATGTAATAGGGCGAAATAAAACAAAAACATATTCATCGCGCGCGGTATATAAATATTGCTCTTACAATAAAATTTATCGTTTGAAAATTTATTACGCTTTTATTATTTATAGAAATGAGTTCAGAGAATTTATTTGATGTTTTTCAATTGAGTTTGCCTTTTCAAAGATATTCACAACCTTTATAGGTATTATTTAAAATATCACAAATGAAGGCAGTACAGAAATTACATTTATTTACATTTCGTTATTCAAAAACATTCATATAAAGAAGCAAGTTACATTAGTTATTAGGCAACGGGCGGCCTTATTGCTAACAAGCGATTTCTTCCAGGCAACCCTAGTATGGAACAATAGAAAAGGAAATACCTACCTAATACAAGAAGTGCATAAATAATTCACAAAACATGTAACACCAACTAAAATAAAAAAAAAAATTATATAAACAAAAATGTAAAAGCTAATCGTATGGTTAGTTAGTCTTAATTAACATATAGCAGAAGATAAAAGAATGTCACTTATTACATTATAATCGGAATTCATTAATTATTGTGTAATTGGCATATTTTTAAAAGTTCAACGTAATAGTAATTACATAAAACAATGGGTTATTGTGGTTGAATATTAACAAGCAAATTTAACAAAACAGTTGACTATACAAATGTATGTATAATAACTATCAGCTGCGATAATCTGTAGCGTACCTAGTCACGTCGCACGTTCCTAGCGATAACTAGGTCGTAGCAAGTGAAGCGCTCAACTTTGCCTACTTACATGATAATTAACAGAAAATTACATTTCTCTATTGAATCCAAGTGAATTGACGTGTTTTAGAAAATTCGTTATTTTAATAATAATACTTATTATGACAACTATATATTTAGAAATTGATCAGAGTTGGCCTAGTGGATTCAGCGAGTGACTCTAACCCCTGAGGTCGTATGTTCGATCCCCGGCTGTGCACCAATGGAATCTTTCAACGTGCGCATTTAACAATGCTCGAACAGGGAAGGGAAACATCGTGAGGAGAGGAAGGAGAAGGTGTGTCAGGCACAGGAGGACTACTTGCTTATTAGGTTGACAAATGATTATGAAACAGATACAGACCAGGCCCAGACCTTTAAAGTTTGTAGAGCCACAGATTTTTATTTAATAGGTTTAGAAATAAAGATAGAATCACAGCAGGAAAGATACATTCTGGAATGCCACACATTTAAACATTAAAGTGAAAACGTTCGTTCTCTCTGTACGTAATCGTTGATATGTAGTATCTCGCAATGTTATCTTTACTGGGGCCGTGATTGATGGCGTGTTGGCTGTCTGTGGCCTGATAATACAGCATCGCAACGACTCTTAAACAATACTTAGGAATGTATTATTTAAGAGATTGAAGAAAAGTGGGTGATATTTTTTCTATACCTTGTTTTATTTAGTTCTTACTGAGAATCGATTAAAATTCTTCCGACATAGCAGTGTTTTCTAGGTTTAATATCAAGACTCTCTGATAATAAAGAAAATATCAGTTTAGTCCTGCTAATATTATAAACGCGAAAGTTTGTAAGTACGGATGGATGTTTGTTACACTTTCACGTAAAACTACTGAATGGATTTTAATGAAACTTTACAATAATATAGCTTATACATCAGAATAACACATAGGCTACAATTTATAAAGATATTGTGTGAATTGTCCAAAATATCAAGAAAGTAGGAAAAAATCTACCATCTGCGAGCTATTCTGACGTGCGCTGCCAAAACCGCTGGAGTTACACATATGTAATGTATGCTGAAAATGTTTATATTATATAGTCATCAGGTTCAATCTTATGTGTAATCCATTATGGCCAAAACAGTGAACCATAATTACAATATAAAATGATAATTTATTTCTAATGCACATTTGGTAGTAATAAATTGATTCCCAAATGAAAATATATACTTTATCGCTTCTGGTATTTATCTTCTTCATTGGATTTTATCTTCTTCATTTGGATAAATATTATTTTAATCCTACACAGACAAAGTCGCGGGCACCAGCTAGTGATAAGCAAATCACAATTTATATATTTGTAATATTAATAAGTATACTATGTATAATAAAAATACGTTCGTACATTAAGCTGGCATTTTGTCAAATTTACCCAACAAAGTTATTTATTTAGTATAGTTATATAAAGTTTAGAAAAATAAAAATAACTTATTCAATATTTGGTTTTTAAACCCACCAAATGGTTAAAAATTTAAATGTAATTAATAAACTGTAAAGTTATACCTCATCTCAGTTGTCATTTTCTGTCCTTACCCATTCCCTAAACACCACTGGGTCTCTTTTGCTATATTCAAGTGTCTACTACACTTAAGGGGACAATTCTTCATGCTCCCGCTGCAGAGAACTTGTGCTTGTACTTACGTCTGTTACACTTTTATTTTTCGTCTTCCCCCACGGAGACAGGTGAAGGGACGGAGGACTATCGTTGAGTGGTGTTTCCAAATTATTCCTGCTGCATTCCAGTTGCCTATCGGTTTACTTTTCGTACAATATTATAAAAATCCATTATTTTTTGTAAATTGTGTGTAAATACTATGAAACATTTTCTAAAAGTATATTTAGTTCTTTATAAGCGCAGAAACATGATTTATTTAAGTAAACCGTGCTCCAGTAAATCGCAGGAGCTTAAACTAGTACGAATATTGTGCCTAAACAAACAAAACATTAGTTAGAGTTGGAACACCTAATGCACAATTCACACCTGCTATTCTACATTTTAATATATCAATTTTCAAACACCTATTTCAGTAAAGATATATTTATTTTCGTAAAGTGGCTCTCTAATTTATCAAAAACATTCAAAGATCTTCCTACAAGAATTTTTAAAAATCGATTTAATCTACTTTTGGAAAAAATATATTATTTATACGGTTCCTGGGTCATCGAGGGTTCGAAATAATAGAAGATGTTTGACTAACTCTGTATTTATCACTCGCGTAACACAATAGAATATGAGCGAAATAATGAAATGTTAATTGCTATATAACGAATGAGTGCAATTTAACAATCTGAGAGAGTGCCGACGTCTGGCTATGCTCTCGGGGTGAAACTCCGACGATTTAGGAAATCGTCATGCTTATAAGTGATCGAACTGTACAGCCAGGGCACGTACATACATAGGAAATAGTTATGCTTGTAGATGATCGGAATGTACGAGCCTTGGCACCAGCGTTGCCAGATTTTTTTATTGTTAAGTCGGGATTTTGGAACTTTTTGAGTTAAAAAAGCGGGAATCTTTCGTCGATAGCGGGACATAGTAACTAAAGGTGATATTTTAAAACAGATTTACCCTATCGTTAAATACTTGTCTTCTTAATAAAAAAAAAGAAAACCAAAAGAACTATTTATTAGAAATACGTTTTGAACAATAGTCAGAACTCTGAGGAATGAGTATTACAAATTGCAAATTCCAATAAAAGAATATTTTTTTATAAGAATTACTTATTATTGGTATATTTTTGAAGATTTAACTTATTTTAAAGTTTCCTCTTTCTCTTTAATAAAGATGTAATATAATTAAATTATATTAGAATTGACTCATAATGTAATTGTACCTTCTATTCTTTAGACAAATTTGCATGCCTATTGCCTATATGTGGCAGAATATGCCAACTTTACGTTCTCCGTCCTCCACGTCCACGTTTAGATTGTACCACAATAACGGTGGTACAATATAAACGTGGACGTGTACTTGACATAATACGTGGTATAACAAAACCCAACTAACAAAAAAAACTAAAAATTTATCAGTTGTTTTGACTGATAACTCGTTAATTTGTTAAAAATGGTATAACAAAACGCAACTGACACGGACATAACTCTAAATTCCCTCAAAGTTCTAACTCCCCAAACTCTAACGTATATTTAGGCTGCGTATACCTTCACGCTCACATAGACAATAAACTGACGAGGCGATTAGGCTAAATATTTACTTTTATCTCGGAGCTGAACAATGCGAAATATTTAAATTCCCAACGGTTCAATGCACTATAAGGGTTTTTAGGAGTCGCAACTTTCTTATCAATACTGAAAAGGTTATTTACAATATACCTTTAGCTTACATAAATTCGTTTTATCTTCAATGTCTTTCTATAAATTCTGTTTCATTACAATTCCAATTTTTATTGTCATTCTCTTATTGCAAATACACACGAAGCTATTCATAATATCTCGTTTTAGGCAGGTTTGCAAATAAATGTGGGGATTCATAAATCACTTGGTAATCTTTTAATCCAATTAGAGTTCAACTCCACTGTCTCGGACTAACCTTGTTTGGAATCGTAAATTACTTTTAATTAGCCTAATTTAAATTGGTTTATAGAAACCTTTGCCATTCTGGAGGGTAATCTCGGTATGGAAACATTGTTGAATTCAATGAATCGATTTTCGTATTTTGTATGTTAGAATGATTCATTATTAAAAGATTTTTAATAGATGGTTTTTTATGGATTCTACATCTCTGCAAGTTAAAAAAATATGAATGTAACTGCCATCTAGTTATAAAAGTCAGAACCCGATAAGACTGTAACAACTGTGTGGCTGTTTGAACTAAAGCGTCGCAGTAATTCTTGTGTATGCTACGAGAGGGCAGTTTAATAAAAAGCTGAAATGCAAAAACTAATAACACTTAGGTCCGTATTCCAAAACGTCTTTCCCATCAAAGACAACCTGAGACTACTTTTTAAAACAGATTGCTACTTAAACGTCGATCCGTTGAAACTAGTTTTAATAGAGATTTGATCTATAATCAATAAAATTATACAAATAAGCATTTCATTGCGTATTTAATACAAAGATAAGTTTCATCTTCATTACACGCTGTGTTTAATGTGTTGTTAATCAGATTAAATAAATGATAAATTTTCCATTTCAATAATATGTATTTATTGACAATAACAATTCCTTTATTTATACAAAAGTATTTGATACTCTCTTGTATTACGATTTCATAAAGTTTTAACATTTTAAGTATTTCAACCACTTATTTTC